TCACTCCTAATGGCCGCCGCGTGGTTTGCTACCGGGCGTCGGGTGCCGGCCGCGCGCGTTATTTACCTACGGGCGTGGCGCTTGCTTGATGGTAGGTAGATATATTTCGAACGGACATTGCAGAAATTAAGCGTCTCAATTCACAGGCAGAGTAAGCAAGCAAGTAATAACAAAGTTATGCATGTGCTTATAGCGGATTGCAAACGTTACCTGGCAATCTTATTCGAGAAAAACACACGCGTTACACAAATCAAAGTCAAACTATTATTTCTTAGCCAGTTCCGACAGTTTTACGGTAAAGTTAGATTACAGATAGATAGCTTTGCAGTTTGGTAGGTTAACCCTGCAGTAGTCGCGCCTATACTCGTAAAAGTCACGTAAGTGGTCGCGCGGGATACAATTATAAACTGAAATAAAAAATAAAATAAGCATAAAGTTTTTATTATTAAAATGTATAATAAACTCAGCGGCACAATTAACCGCCCACCTTGATTTTTTACGATTTTGGTTAAAAAAAAATTGTGGCCTTACTTGTGAATGTTATTTTATAACGTAGGTATATTGAAGTAAAATGAAAGATAATATTTTTTTTAATTATTACGTTTATTTATAAAAAAGTCTGAAAAACACTTTGACCGTAAATTAACAAAGGTGATGAAATGGGTTAAAAATAAAAAATCTGCTGAATAAATGAATTCTAATAGTGCGTACTTCCATCTCTAGCCCGCATGACTTCCATCAAACGGTTTGGCATGCTGTCGATGACATCTTTGATCTGTTGTTGTGGAATGTTCTGCCACTCCTCAATCACGGATTGTTTTAATTCATCTATGGTGGTTGGAGCTGGTATGCGGCTTCGAACACGTCTTTTTAAATTGTCCCATATGTGTTCAATAGGATTTAAATCTGGGCCCGGATGGCCATGTTAATTTTCGAATGCCGACGGTATCCAGGTACGCGGTAACAACTCTAGCAACGTGGGGGCGAGCGTTGTCCTGCATTAATAAAAAATCTTCGCCAATAAATGGAGCAAATGGCATTACATGAGGTTCCAATACTTCTGTTACATACCTCTGAGCATTTATTCCACCTCTTTCGAAGATAACCAAGTCGGTGCGTGCTTCGTAAGTAATGCCGCCCCATATCATGATAGAGCCACCTTGGTAACCTACTGTTTCCACAACAGTACATGGTGCAAACCTTTCATTCTTGCGTCTGTATACACACTGGCAACCGTCAGGACCGTGCAAGCATATTCTTGTCTCGTCAGTAAACATAACATTCTTCCATTGTTCCATATTCCATTCGGCGTGCTCTCGGGAAAAACGAAGTCTTTCTCTCCGGTGGCCTACGAGCAATTGTGGCACTCGAGATGGTCGAAAAGCTCCAAGGGCATTCTCTCCTAGTCTTCTTCTCACTGTTCTTTCACTCACTTGAACATTGCGAACCTCACGAAGTAGGTTTCGTGCCTCAACAGCTGTAGTGAACCGATTTCTTAGAACATTGGTCACAAGAATTCGGTCGTCACGAGCGGAGGTGCATCTTTTTCGGCCCTGTCCTGGTCTTCGCTCATAAGAGCCACTTTCCCGAAACCGTTTCACTGCATCCCTTAAGGTGGTACGTGCGACACCAAGCTTCCGTGCCACGTAACGCTGACTAAACCCTTCGTCGATAAGAGCGACGGCTCTCGCCACTGAATTAGCATCAAATGGCATGTTTGTGATGTCCAAACACTAGCTTTAAGTTACGAAACCAAAACAAACTCAAATTGTTTACTTTTAATGCCACTTAAGCAATGTAAGCAGTATGGCAACGATAACGATAATGAGACGAAGTTCGATATTTGTCCTATTCACATAGTATCGCGTAAAAAAACAAAGTTAAGTGGGTTGCTTGTAATTTTTTCGTCACTACATTTCTTTCACACGTGACTTATTTATGCCCAATAACTTACAACTGCGATAACATCAAAATTTGCCACTTTAAAAGGGTGGGCGGTTAATTGTGCCGCTAATGCCCGAATACTGAAACGCAACTCAAATCTGTCACTTTATTAAAGGTCCCCTATATTTAAGCATCACTCAAATTTAACTGAAATACAGAAACATCACTCAAGTGATTTGAGGGCTTGATTAGTTGAGCAGCTCTCAAATGTTTACGTTATGGTAACACTCATTTATAAAACTTTGTTCTTCTTGACAATTTTACGATATTTGAATTTAAATACGTTTTATACACATCATCTAAAAAGATTTAAATAATTTTATGTTCGATTTATTTTAAAATTATATTCAAAAATAATCTCCTAACAATACTTTCATTGAGAATGTGATTTATGTGTTTTTTTTTAAATATTGTGTATAAAAAGGACATTTCAAAGTATAAAATTTTTCGAAAATCGTTCTGTCTGTCGTCCTAGAACGAATCGAGAATCTTACTTACTGTCATGTGCTGTCAGTGTCAGTTTCTTTGACCGCATCCAGTGATTTTTAAATTTTCGAATTAATATTTAACATATTTTGCAAATTTCAATTAAAGGCTAAGTAAAAATTATAGTAAAATATGGATGTTAAAAAGAGACGCGGATGCAATTACACAGTGTCTGAGAAAGATACTTTATTAGAATTGATAAAAAAGTAAGTAAATATTTAACGCCCGAAATTAATAACGTATCTCTTTTTTAAGATTAAAGACAATCCGAGATTGTACCCTATCCAAAGATCGATCTAAATCCACATCCCAATAACACATGTTAACAAACCCAATCTTTTTTTTGCGGCGATCGCAGTCGATCCAAACATCTATCTGATTCCTCTCGACTGTTTCGTTGTATGCATAACGACTGTTGCTTCATTCAAATATGTAGATGTATTAATATAATAACATAAAATGTTGTTTTAAATCTATTACTATTGACACTAATCATACGTTATTACGTTAGCTACTTTTTTCTCCCTAAAATTTTTAAATTATTATATTTTTATTAAATTAATGTAAATTTATAGTTAGAAAAAAATTACATAACGGAACGTCGCCGGTAAGTAGCGTCTCCGTAGCGTCAGTGCGTCCGTCAAAAAAAACGGTCATTCATTGTAAAGTTTCACTGCTTAGCTTCGATCGTTTGTGTTTGTTATTAATTTTTGAGCGTATACAAACCTTTTTTCGAATTACAACTTAATAACAGGAATATTTACAGCAAGTATATTGTGCATAACAAGAATGGAGACACAAGTAGTAAGTTATATTGTATAATTTGATGTTTGGTGGGAATATGTAACTTTTCCCGCGTACAGCTACATATATCACTTTTTTATTTTAGATAAAAAGCAAGCCACTTTCAAAGGATGAAACCAAAACCTTAGTAGAATTTATAGAAATGAGTAAAATTATAACTTCAAAAGCCACAAACGCCACCAGCAATAAAATGAAAGATGAGGAGTGGATACGAATAGCCGAGCAGTTTAATGCTACGGCAACTAATTGTCGTCGGACACCACAACAGCTTCGGCTGAAATGGGAAAATTTAAAGAAAAATGCACGTAAACGTTGCACCAAAATAAGAATGAATAGCATAAAAGTGAGTCACTGTTTATTTATTTTTAATCTAAGTACAATTAAATGATTATCCGTTTTTGTTTGAATTCTTTATTCATTTTATCATTATTAATTTGCAGACTGGTGGAGGTGTTGGTGAGTACATACCCTCAGATGAAATACTGGATCGTGTTACCAGGCTATTGGGGAGTACAGCCAATGGATTAGTTGTTCCTTATGGGGGAGATAAGGAACCTGAGCGCTATGTAGTGCTTTGTGATGGTAGTGGTATTGAGCCAAATGGTGGTAGTGTAGAGGAAATAGGTGGTGATGCTAGGGTCAATTTAGAAATCCTAGAACTTCACGACACATCAGTGCCAGATCCGCAAATGGAAATGATTGTGACTCCTACTCCTCCACATTCAGCATTGGCTCAGGTTAACACCTGTGCTATTGCTGAACAAATTAAAGTTACAAATACACCACGGAGAGTCACATTTAATGTCCCTAGAACAGGTAATGGTTATTTTAGTGTTGATAGAATTTAAATTTATAAGATCACTATTTCACATGGTGTTCAGTTCACTGAGTTGGTGGTATGGTGATTAACTTGTATTCCACTTTAGTTTAAAAACTTGTGTAAATTGAGGCAAAATAGTAATATTCAAGAAATATACACCTTTTTATTTGAAAGAAATGCTATAACTTTAAGTTAACTTATTTAAATTAATTTGTATTTTACAGGTAAAAGGAAATTGCAGGGTGATGGGTCCAAATCTGCTAGAGATCTTGCCATTGCAGAATATTATAAGTTTAAAAAACTATGTCAAAATTAGATAATATACTATTAGAATATAAGAAACTTAAATTAGAAAATGAAAAACTTTTATTAGAAATAGAAAATTTTAAGAAATAGTTATTGGTCTGATACTAAGTTTAAAAAATTATTATTTTGATATATAATAGACAATAATTGTGTGTAAGTAGTTGTTAATTAATTTAAACTTAGTATGTCTTTCATGATTTGTAATGTTATCAGTTATATATAATTTGTATTTGAAAATCATTTAAACTAATGAAATATGTATTTATTAAATGTATAAAAGGTAGATACATAGTTAAGGTTTAATTTCCTTTTTATGAATGTCTCAGTAATATAGTAATTTAAGATAAGAATATTTTTATTGAATATTTATTTTGTTTTTACCATTAAATTTACAAACTATAACAATTTATTTTCTAACTTATTCTTACAATCTTCAACCTTTAACATCAGTGTATGCCTGCATCACATTCAGCTGAGGCTTTGATAATATATATTGCAATTTGAATACATATTATTTGCACCCAAATCTCAGAACAGTTTAAAATTTAAAACTATTTAATAAAATATTAACAACTTATTCTACATACAATTTTCAACCTGTAACGCTAGTTAAGACATTCTCCAATGAGTGTAATCTTTTCTACAATGTCCTAAAATAGTTATTTATTATATCAGTCCGGTGCATTGTAGGAATATCGTCAATAACATTATGAGGCATTGTACTGTTGTCAATAGACGGTAGTTCTACTTCAGAGGGGATTTCTGTGAGATTGTGATTTCTGCAAATATTATGTAGGACTGTTGTTGCTATTATTACTGCCTGCATATTTGGTATTGACAAACGTAGTGTAAGTGCTACAACAGGGAACCTACGTTTCCATACTCCAAATGCTCTGTAACACAAACATGTCTTTATTAAACACCAGTATTTCCATAAGACATTTTATCTAATAATACAGTTTTATTTAACATACCGTTCAATGGTATTTCTAGTTTTAATTTCATTGTACCTATGTTCAGCTTCAGAAACTGGATTTAGAATAGGTGTTAATAAATACGGCCTGTTAGGATAGGCACTATCTCCAAGTAACCAGCGATTTCCAAATTGGCCTGCATCACATTCAGCTGTGATAAAAATAAAGAATATTAGGCACTGATAATAAATATTGTAATATATTGCAATTTGAATACATATAATTTGCACCCACCTCTCAGAACAGAGTTATTAAATATTGTTGCATCATGCGTAGAACCAGGCCAACGAGCCACAACATTTATAAATTTCAAATCTGCATCACAAACCCCTTGAACATTTATAGAAAAGTAACCCTTGCGATTTCTGTATTCTTCACCTGTTAAATGGCCTAAAATATATAAACATTATTATCAGCAACTTCATAATTTATTTATATTTGGCAAAATTTAAAAAAAAAAGTATAGTTACAAGGAGACTGTATGCGGATATGTGTGCCATCAATTGCCCCAAGCACACGAGGAAATCCAGCAATTCTATAGAATTTGTCTGCACTCCTTTGGTGAACATAAATATATTTATCATATAATTGGGCAATTGCTAATGATGTGTCTCGCACTATTCTGCCTGCTGTAGATTTTGAAACTCCAACAAAATCTGCTACGGATATCAACATTGTGCCTAGTGCATAAAACCGTAGAGTCAACAAAAGTTGATGCAATGGTGATACTCCATAATTTCTGCAAACGATTAGATAAAATGAAATATATGGAGATTGTAAAATAATTATCTAATTTGTAATAGACCAGCTTTGCTTTACCTCGTGGAAGTTACGCGTAATAACGGGGTTATTTCTAACAATAAAGAATTGAACGCATGTTTGTTCAATCGAAACCTAAAGGTAAAATCACCGTCATCGAGACTTTGCGTATAATTCACTCTTCTGATTCTCTTTGGAGAGCGGCGTTGGGTTTCATCTTCATCACTACAGTCGGATAATTGAGCTAGCATTTCCAAATCACTGTCACTGTCACTAGATAATAACGTTAAATCCATTTTGGCGCAAATAAAATAAAAGAAAACACGTAAGAGTTTTGAACTAGAAGGATTAATCCTAGGCTTTTCTCGGATTGCGAATTTGGATTGTTTGCACCGATCGAACCAAACGTCAAATTTGACAGATAGGTTATTGATACACACAAACTGTCATTTACCCACAGAGGTGTATCTTTTTCTGTAATCCGACCTCCCAAGGATAGCTTGCTTCTACAGATAGTAATTTTAATCTCTGGATTGGTTATTGGCACTATCTAACCATAAAATGGATTGCTAAAAATAGATTAAGATCGAATATTAATTTCGGGCGTAAATCGTCAAATGAAACATAAATTATTTTAACCGAATAGATTGCCCTTTATTACATTGCGAATTAAATAAAAGTTGTTCATATTGTAACACGTGTTACATATTATTTTAGATATCAACATATTATAGAAAATAAAGAGACGAACGCCCATATTATTTTGAAGAAACGACAAGCTTGGGATTGTGTGTGCAAAGAATACAACGCTGTTGCTGTAAGCGGTGTCAGAACGTGGCAACAATTACGACATCTGTATGAAAATCTAAAGCAACGGTCTAAAAAGAATGTTGCCAAAGAAAATGTAATCTTTTATTTATCTTGGAGACCATAAATATTAAGTAGTCACGATTTATTGTATTCGTATTATTTCATAATCATTTTGTTTTTAGAGATTACAGTACAATGAAAAAACAAAAGATGCCCAAAAAAGGCATCAATAGATAAGGTATATATTGCCATATATCTTGAAAATAATTGATTAAGTACCTATTAAGTAATTTTTTTTTATATAGAAAGAAATAACTTCTACTGGTGGTGGATCCTATACATCAGTTCTAACTCAGCAAGATGCTCAGATTTTAGCAATGGTTGCTCCACAGGTTCAACCACTGCAAAATCCATTTGATGATGCTGCATTTTATTTAAGTTAGTTTGTTTAATCTCTATAATTTAGATCTTTAATAAGAAATTAAATTAATTATTGTTTATCAGGTGACACAGAATTGATTTCTGAGAACATAGAAACCATTTTAACAGTGAATGATGTAAATAAGGATGACAGTGCTAATACCGGTAAATATTATATTACTATGTTTTTTTAGATACATATTTGATTTTCATACTAATTTTTATTTTTAGATAACCATCAAACACTTTTATCAAATGACTATATTGAGCAGAACAGCAATAAACCTCATACAATAACATCTGATACAAAAGGTATTGACTTAATTTTACTTTTCATCAATTGTGCATTATGGAATAAATTATTAATATATATTATGTGACATTAGTGAGGTCGAGTAATATCTTGATAAAAATTATATTTTTGCTAATGAATAATGTAAATTATACATATTCATATATGATTTTTTAAACACTGTTTTTTTGTTAATAAAGTTGTAAATTAACCTTAGATAAACATTTTTCAGCACACCAACATAATGTAACAAAACGGAAATCACATGAAACCATTAAACAACAATATTTTAAAGCAAAACTAAGAAAAAAATAAATATTTAATAAACAAAAACAAAATGGAGCTAAATAAATATACTTTAGAAGTACAAATTTTAAAATTAAAATTAAATAGGTTACAAGCTTCCCGACAGAAAAAGAATTAGAGTTATTATTAGTCAAAAATTTTCAACTGTCAAAAGCTACGTATATTTAACTTAATTTATTTTGTTATTTAAAGGCCAATTCTGGCTTACAAATTTCAACAAAAAGTTCAGGAAATATATAAGACAGTTATTGTAATAATTATTTTTTGATTTCAGACATAATACTCATTTATAAAGGAAAATATTTCTGCGGCGTTGTTGTCAACTGTCAAAGCATAAAGACTATATACAATTTTTATCAATATGGAATAAATCCAGCGAAGTAATGTGACAATATTTCATTTATAGAGTAAAGTGCTTTTATTTAGGCCATAAATTGTTTCAGGGAAAGATGCGGGGTACAGCACATTTCAAGTCATTATGAAGCTATGTAATATAATTTTATTTATTATAGTTTTTAATATTGTATATAATAAAATATAAAATATTGTATATTATGTTATTTAAATAAATAAATTTAACTTTTAAATTGCAAGAGGGAAAAGAATTAGTTTATATTATGAATATTTTATTTTATTACTGTAACATATTTAGATTTAAGACTGACATTGTATAATTTATCATTTGTTAGTAAATATTTCCAGTCCTCAGCCATAATTATAAACTTACTTAAAGCTCTTATTATTAAACATAACATGATTAAATAAATGCATAATTATTTGATTGATAGTATATATAATATTTAAGTTTGTAATTACATTATAAAATAAGATTCCGGATGTAATAAATAATGTAGGTGATTATAAACTATTTCCATTTATGAATAATTGTAAACTGCATAATGTGGGTTAAAACAAATGCAGGAGTCCGATTAGGGTCATTGTAAGATACTTTTTTGTCTTAAGCAGAAACTCTGTCAATTACATATTAGAGTAAAACAATATCCAGTTACTAGTCTCCACAGAATCAGTAATTCATTTATGGGCAATGTTTACGCTTTTACAACAATATCCCAGAACATATTCAAAGTTTGTCAATAAACCAGTTTAAAAGTTTTATTAAAGAAAAACTGTACAAAAAGGGTTATTATAATATCAAGAAATACATGAATGAAAATAACCCCTGGGAATAAGGTGATCGCCGCCATGCTGGTTCTATGAAAAATCATTTAAAAATTGTATAAATGAAATATGTTTGAAAAAAAAAACTCCCGCTGGGTTTCTTGCTGGTTCTTCCCAGGACAGAGGTATTTTCCGAATCAGTGGTAAATAAAAAATGACTTTCAATAAGTATTATGTAATAATCAATATTGAATAAAAAATTATTCTATTCTATTCTATCAGTTTTATTTAAAAATCGACAACAACATTGTCACATTTTTTATTATGGGTGATTTCTGGATCTCAATAACGGATCTAATTGAGAATTTAAACCATCCAGGGACTCAAACAAAAAAAAATCAGCCAAATTGGTCCAGCCTTTTAGGAGTTCAGTGACAAACACACAGAAGAATTATGTTAAGTTACTGTATTTTCATGAATCTACACTGTGATATAGCAAACTTTTGACTGATTTATTATTTGTTATGTTGTAAAGAATTTATTTTAAAATAAAAATAAAACATTAACCAGTAAAATATGTATTTATTAACGATGTCCTCACAGTAAAGTTTTGATTTACTTCATTGCTGGGTTGTACCATAATTTCTTCCTCTACAATAGTTAAAGGATCATCCTCTTCAACTACTTCATCCTGCCTTAAAATAGCAATATTGTGGAGTACTGCACATGCCACAATAATAGGTGGAATATTTGTAGTCTTCAGTCCTAACCCATAGTGGAGACAGGGAAATCTTCTTTTAAGAACACCAAAGAGCCTTTCTATTGGATTTCTGGTTCTAATTTGTGAACGGTTATATGCTTCTTCAGCTGGTGTCCTTGGATTTAAAATTGGGGTTAACAAATAGGGGCGACATGGATAACCACTATCGCCTAGAAGTACCATAGTGGTAAAATCTCCTCGCTCTAATTGGGCACACAGTGGTGATTCATTAAAAATTGTACTATCATGTACAGAACCTGGCCATCTTGCAATGATATTTCTTATGCGCAATTTCGCATCACATACCATTTGCACATTCAAGAAGAAGTAACCTTTTCTATTTCGGAAACTTTCAGATTGAGCTCCCCCTGCAAAGATTTAATAACAATGAGTGTAGGTATATAACTTATTAATAATAGATATGATAATGTAGGAGTATAAGTATAGCTCATGATTAGAATATGTACCTGGAGAATTAATTTTAATTGGAATCATCTTGGATCTTGGATCAATCACTCTTGGAAATCCAGCAATGGCATAAAAGTCATTTGCTACTTCTAGACGTTCCTCAGCAGTTGGCATATTTATAAAAAGTGATCTCATATTCGCTTTTTTTTCTGTAACTCTATGCACGATTCGATGCACAGTCGGTTGCTCGATGTGGAATATGTCCCCTGTAACTCGTTGATAACTGCCTGTAGCGTAATACCGAAGGGTTATCAATATTTGATCCACGGGCTGCAAAGATCTATTTCTTTTCGTTAATGGTTTTATCGTGCTGCCGAATACAGAATCCAAATACAACACCGTTTCTTTGGAAACGCGGAACCGCGCACGAAATTCTTTATCGTCATATTTTTCGAAAGCGTTAAGCTTGATATCATTTGTTCGACTTCTTAGAGGCGTTTCGTTGTCCGAAAGAGAAGATAACGACGAAACGGACATATTTAAAACTTGAAAAATGCTTTTAACAAATTTGAGAGTCCTCGCTACCACACTCAATAATAACGAGTATTTAAATCAATTTGACATTTGATTTGACAGCTAAAACGCGTTGAGTGATGTTTCAGTATACCATTTTTTAGTTGAGTAGTGTTTAAGCGCAACTCAATTTGAGACACACATAAATTTAAGAGATATTTAAAATTTAAATATGAGAATACGAATATAGGGTTTAGGAGCTGCTCAAATGTTTGACAAGCCGTTAAATATTTGAGGGACGTTTCAGTATTCGGGCATAAGTGTATAATAACTACAGTCTTTTTAACAAAATATAATTAACAAAACTTAATCACAACCTCTGTGTTACTTATAATCAACAAAAACAAAAAACTTGTCTAAAATGGCACAAAAATCACATGAATCGCTCTTATTGAGATCACAAATAAACTTTTAGTAGGAACTAACTTCTAAATTGTATTTTCCGCACAGGACAAACACAGTATCTTCAAATGATCTTTCTGGTGCTTTTACTGCGCGCTCTTCCACAGTCATGGCAACGGCGCACAACATTACCCGATATTGCTGTTGAGGTAATTGGTTGGGTTTCTGCGCATGTAATGCCAAGAAAATCTTGTATTTTTATTGTTAAAGTTCTTGGCAACGACTTTTTTTCAATTCTCTTATGAGCCAGTGGTTTCATCCAAGCCTAGTGCAAGTCAATCAAGAAGTCACGTCGGGAAATATTCTCATAGTTTTTAATATGCACAATGCGTTTAGTGCACTCAAATTTAGCATGTCAAAGAAAACCGTAAGGGGCCATCTTCTAGAGTTTCTCGAAATGTCATATAATGAACACATTTTATCCACAAGGTCAACTCCATTTTTCGTCCTATTGTAATAAGTTATTACTTCTGTCTTTTGACTGTCTCCAGAGTCAGCATCAATTGTGGCATCGTTATGCATCGTCGACATCAAGGTGACAACTTTATTTGGTTTTGGCACGTACGATACTAGTGTGCATAGTGGGTGGAACCCAAATTTATAAGAACATAATGGATTTCCTCTTGCGATACGAAATTCACGAAGAACTTCTCGTTTGTCTTTTCGTACTGTGCAGACCATAGTTGTGCCGTTTTCAAAAATCTGTTTTGCAACGCGAAGTGAAGAAAACCAATTATCCATGGTGATATTCATGTTTTTGCCTTTCTTCTCAAGCGAAATGGACCTTGGCGCATTTACATTAGGTCGGTCACCTTGTTAGTAGTGGCCGCGCCTTAGGTGGCGACAGGGGTGAGGGGGCGGGTTGCCTACTGCTCACAACGCACATGAGATTAGACAGTGATGACCTATCTCGGGATATCGTGAACAATAATTGTGAAAAGAATAAATAAAAAACAATTTAACTTTTAGAAGTTTATATTATACCAATCTAATTATATTGTAATTAATAGTAAAATAAACCAAAAATAAATTAAGTACATGAAATTATTCTGACATATCCTCTGAATCACTTAATTCTGAACTTTCTGAACTTGATTCAGAATCACCTTGGAAGTTTATAATGATTTCGTCCATCATAGTATCAAATCTCATATCATGATTCCAGTATTCTTGTTCGTTTTTTTGTACGTGGTCATCGCATTTTTGCACTTGTTCGGCAGAGAATTCGGAAAATAGCCTTGTTAGTATTGTAATTTTCTCGTTCAATGTAGCATTAATGTGATCTCTGGCCAGGCAGTTTTTAATATTTGCCCACACAAACTCGATCGGGTTGAGGTCTGGATGATGTGGAGGTAGTCTTAGTACAGTATGACCTGCAGCTTTCAGAAGTTCATCAACAGTGTATATTTTTTCTGATTGGGTCGTATTAATCAACCTCAAAAGTTCGGCTTAGATCATCGTAGGAGAAAATGGCACGTTATGATTTTGCAACCAGTTCTGCATATTAATTTTCAAACTGGACATAGTCGGTTTCTTCTCAACTTGCACACAATGATAGGCAGCATTATCTATAACTATGACTGAGTTAGGTGGAAGTTTAGGTATTAATTTTAGATCAACCCAGTTGTAAAAATTTGTAGAGTTCATGTCTTCATGATAATCCCCCGTTTTTGAATCTGATTTAAAAATTAGCAAAGCTATTACTAAACGCCTTCCTTTGCCTATAGATGTATAAATTCCAGGCTCCGACGAAGATTGCCAACATTTTTGGACATTGTGAGTTTGGTTAACGTAAGTTTCCAAAAGAATATATTTCGTTTGTCTTCTCTGAATTTTCTTATGGCCCTCAAATATTTCACTCGCCATTCAACTATGTCTGGTCTCTCTATTAAAAGGGATCTCTTCGATTTAGATTTTTTAAATGAATATCCCAGTTTGTGCAAAATTTCTCTTAAAAAAGTTAATCCGCAATCTAAAATATTATCCTCTTAACACAGCATTTAGTTTTCGTAGACTTGGAATTTTCTTCTCTACCGTATAAAACTGATTTATTTTTCTTCTTATTATTCCTAAATCAAAATCATCAACTTGTATTTTCTTTTTTATTTCTTTTGGTCTCCGCGGAGAACTAAATTTTGCTTCCCCTGTATTTTGCAAGGCAGTTTTACTTTCAGCAATCACTCTCCTCACACTTCGTTCTGATATCCCTGTTGCTTCTGCTACTAATTTATGTATATTCGCATCAGTTTTATATTCTAAAATATTAACATCGGTTTTCCGTTTTTTAAAAAACGTATGCACTTTAAATATTATTTCCTTAGATTGTCTTTTTATCGGCGGACTCATCTTGCTATTGCATTCTCATGTGAGTTTTGTCTAAACTAGCCGGAACGTTCAACGCGTGTTGCCGTCGCGAAGTACGGCGCCGCACTGAGCACTGAGAGACTTATGACAGCAAGCGCCCCCGCCTCTCCGTCCCACCGCTCACATACCTAAGGCGCGGCCGACTAGTTCCGCGCTCACTATAGTAATTAGTTTAATGTAGTTAATGTAAGTAAAACAATAAAATTTTTACAATCAATATAATTTCAAAATTACGAAACATAGGTATTATGAATGTTGGATCATGTCCAGAAATGATCTTAAAGCTAATTAATCATGCAGTTTGAGAATCTTCTAGGTTCGAAAGAACACCTATCACATTTGAGATAGAATCGTTGCTTGTATTTAGCTCTATGTTTTCAACTGCTATGTTACTTTGGCTACTAGTACTCATAGTAGTACTCGTAGTATAATTGGGTGTGAAATATTCATGTACTGGATAATTACTTGTAGTATGTGATGTTGTACATTCCTCAGATAAAATCCTCAACTCAAATTGTGTAATAGTTCGTTGGATTATTGATTTTGCTGAAATAAAGTGTTTTTTCGGCATTTGTCGCAACGAAGACGCAATGTATTTGCCAAATATATCATATTCATCTTCCTTCATAGTTCCAACTTCTTTTCTTAAGTTGTCCAATTTCTCCAATGCCACTGCAATCACGTCTTCAGAGTTCTCGTTACCTTTATTTCCCACCACATGGTTTCTTTTGCGTTTAGGTTTTTGAGTTAAGTTTCGAGAATCATCAGAAAAATCAGTTGTATGTTGCGATGTACTTAAAAAGGTACCTTCCGTTAATGTGGGAGTTTGCGTGACATCACTGCCTGTATCGCTGATTGTTAAAGCACAATCAAAATTTTCATCCTGAAATATAAAACATTTAAATTAGGTACTGGATTATCATGGTTGTTAAATAGGTAAGTCAAAATAGGTAATTTTTATTTTTTTTCATTTCAGATCCCGAAAACAGAAGAAGATTGGCTTAAAATCGCTAAAGGTTTCGAATTGAAATGGAATTTCCCAATTTGTATTGCAGCACTTGATGGTAAACATATTGTGATTAAGGCGCCACCAAACACTGGGTCAGATTTCTTTAATTATAAAAAAAATTACAGTATAATATTATAAGCTTGTGTAGATCACGATTATTGTTTTACATATATTGACATTGGTGCAAAAGGCAGAGATTCAGATGGCGGTGTTTTTGATCATTCTCCCTTGAAAGCGGCAATTGATAACAATGCTCTCAATATTCCTGAAAGATACGTGTTCGTAGCTGATGCTGCATTCCTACTCAAAAATTACTTAATGAAACCTTACCCGGGTCATGATCTTACTGTTGCTGAAAAAATAAACAACTATCGACTATCGAGGGCTCGGAGGATTGTCGAAAACGCCTTTGGCATATTGGCTTCGCGATTTCAAATATTTTGAAGACATATCAATTTAAATATTAAAAATACGGAGAAAGTCGTGAAAACATGCTGCTGTCTTCATAATTGGCTGCGTAAAACATCCTCTGCACATGCACACTTTGCATATTCAAATACCTGGAGATCTAATTTTCTATCATTTGTTGAAGAAAACAATATGGGCTGTAGTGAAGCAAGACAAAAACGAAATGCTTTACGTGATTATTTTAACAGTGATACTGGCGCTGTTTCTTGGCAAACAAATTGTCTTCAAGAAATAAATAAATAATGTGTAATTACTGTGTTAATTTAAGTTAATAAACTTGCTTACCATATTTGTATTTGTATGTCTTTTACTTGTATATGTCCTCAAAAATCCATCAGCTATTTCAAACCACGGCATCTTTGGTTTATAAACAGATTGTGTACTGACACCGGATTGGAAGCTAGCGTCAATTTTTTTTCTTTCTTTTATGTATGTAGACAGTAATTTTTTTATTTTCTTGCTTATATCTTGCAATGAAAGTGATGGCGTATTCAACGATTCTCTGATTCTTGCATAGGCGTTATCTCTTGCTTCTCGACTTCTGTACGACTTATGTGTAACTTTCCACAGAATTTCGTTTTCCTGATATAGTTCTACCAAGTGCGTCACTTCCGAGTCACTTAATTCTCGAGAGGCCATTTTATACGCACAATCGTGCGCGTGCGGCGGACTGGCTCGCGAGGCTGCGGGCGGCGGGCGACGGGCGGGGCACGGTGCACTCGACACCGACAACGGGCTCGACCGAATACGGCCAAACCGAATACGGCCAAACGAATACCTGTTTATATTAGTCGGTGACCTAATAAGGCCTGCAGCCGAATACGGTCTAACCGACTAATGTAAATGCCCCATCTGGTTGTTGGCCTGCATATATTTCTAAATTGAACGTATAAGGATAATGAACATCAACAAGGGTAAAAATTTTCACTCCATATTTTGCGGTTTGCTGGGAATGTATTGCCTGAAAGAACAGCGGCCTCGAAAAGCTATCAACTGTTCATCCAATGTCATTTCCGCACTTGGAACAAAATACTTTTGAAAATTCGCAAGCAGCAATTCAAAAATATCTCTAATAGGCGCTAGCTTATCAATGCTTGCACGAGTTAAAAAAGCGGCCAAAAATGAGTAATAATCCAGATGCTCAAACGTTCCAGCCAATTTCAAAATAACAGCCTCGTCCAAACTCATTTTTCTATCACCTCGGTTTTCCTTCGTACACATAAAAATTGAACATACATCTTGTTACGGCGCAGCATATAACCTATACCTTGAAACCGCGTTTGATGGTGACTTATCTAATGTACTCTTCAGTACTTTTTGTAACATTGAGTAAAGCAAGAGTCAAGACACGTGAAAACTTGCTTCTTACGTAATTTGTCTTTGTACTACACAAACGGCATCATCTGCGTGGTGTGTCAGCCTCAACACTTGGCCCAGATGTTCCAGGTAGGCATGAAATAGCCTGCCTTTCGATTGCGTGCTGTTGTGTTGTCTGAAAACAATAATAATGATAACTGACAGACTCTTGTATTAAAATATTATGTAAATATACATAGAATAATAATAATAATAGTTTATTTTCACCACTTAGATAACTATCAGATTTATAAATAACTATTCTATGGTCTATACTTAGTTTACAAAGAATGATGGAACATCTGTGTCTGAACTAGTTAAATATATATCTGTATTTCAGATCACAGTGCTCTTCCTTATTATATATTAACAAACTAACATTAGTATAATTTAAATAGTTGATATACAAAAAATAAAATGTGAAAATTAATCTTAACAAAATGTATTTTTAATAAAAAGAAAAATGTTAAAGTGTGTATTAAAATGTATCTCTTTGTGCATAATATGTTGAATGCATGAGTGTGTGTAAGAGGGTGTGTAAGTAATATTAACTTGTAGTAAGTAATGCTTCAGTTTCTTCATAGTTTAACTGATGAAGAAATAATATTTTAAATATTTCTATCGAGATACTACAATAACATATACTTTACATCCTAATTTATATATAAATTTAAATAAATAATATAAATAGTATGCAGACAAAATAACACCTCACATATACCTCAGCAACAGGAACATTTTCAGCTGGAAAATCTCAAATAGAACTTGGTGTTGATTGCTGTTCCTGAAAACATCCAAAAATCAATCACCAATCATTTAATTATATACATATTTGCATGTTAAATGTGTATGTTAAATAATATAGTACATCATGTGAGATTGAGAGAGAGACTTTAGACGAAGAGAGTTCTTCATAAAATATTTCAGGTATTTTAAATTTACACTAAATACTTCTTTACCTTTTGGATTATGTTAAACAAATCCTATCAAGACTAAAAAATAGTTTCTATCACCCCAATAATTAATATGGTACCGTTATCTATATCTAATATGATAACTATATTAGTAGGTTTTTTCACGTACTCTTATTGGTTTTAAAATTCAATTACTATGCAAAATGCAGATTTCAGACAGTCAATCGATAAAATATAATACCATAATTGGTTTTGTATGGTAACAGTAGAAGTTGGGATAATTTAATCATTGTGTTAGCCAAAATTACTTACCGATGGTAGTAACGGTACTGGATTTAGGCCTATTAAAAAAGGGACTATTTTCAGGACTCTTTCTTGGACCGAGGAAGGACCACGCTCTCACAGAATACCAGAGTAAAATAATAGCCTTAATGACATAGAAATAAGTTGATCCCCTGACTTTCATGCTAGGGTAACCTGTGTTATAAAAGTCAGTGGTTCGGCTCTTTATAATATATTCTTTAATGGTGCTCTCTTATTGCCGTTAGAAAATGTTTGTAAACATTTTGTAACATAAAAACATTTACTCACTTATGTTGTCAATTGTTACATTTTGTTAGGAACTGTTACATGTTATAAGTGCTACACTAATAGAAAATGTTTACTAATGTTTACTAACATTTTATAACATTTAAAATCTGGTATTGGCTCGCAGTTTGTTTGCGTTCTGAGAGCGGCGTCTACACGAAAATGGAAGAGGATTTGCTCATTGGAATAGCTTTAATTTTTTGTTTAAAAAAGAAGAAAAAGCGCTCTTATTGGATGCGCGAAACGCTAAAAGTTAGAGGAAAATATAGTGCCACAGACTATCTCAAGGATTTAGGCATTGATGGATGCTTAAAAGATTTTATAAGAATGAACAGTTCTGAATTTGAATATCTACAAAAATTATTTGGGATAAAAATAGGCAAACGAGACACTAATTTTAGAAAATCTGTAAGTTGACGGAAAGACTTGCGGTAACGTTAAGATTTTTGGCAACTGGTAGCAGTTATAAAAGTCTTGGAAATGTGTTCAAGTTGTCAGACCAAGTGATATCTATAATCATACCAGGAGTGTGCGAGGCTCTCAATGAGGTTTTACAAGAATACATACAGGTAAGTCAAACAACATTTTTATTTATTTTTATTTTTGATTACTTTTAATATGATCTAACAAAACTTTCTGACAGTTGTGGTGCGAGGGTGGGTAACTACTACGTTGGAAAAAAACACACACATTAACAAAAATAAGTTGTGTCTTTACAAATATATATTAACAAAAAATGCAACACGAGCTTATTTTTTTGCACACCATTGAGACAAATCATACTTTACTGATATTCACCTTGCCGATGAAATTTTTAATGATCAACAAATCCAACATGTATTATTTAATTTTGGATTGATCCCAACAAATCGTTTAATGATTGGGTCGAATCTTGGCTTGATTCCGATAAATTAGACGGACTCGGTGTTCTTGCGCTAGTACGAGGATGTGCAGTATGCACCCTGGAGCTATCCGAAGAACTAGTTTCAAATGCAGCTGAGAGACTACAGACAGCATTATTTTCCAAAAAAGTGGATGATTTAGTTCAGAGTTGTATCCCCAGGAACTACTAGCAGTTGGGTTTGTAGGAAAATCATATTGTCCTATTGATACATTGCACAAAATATTGTTAACGTGATGTTGAGCAGTATTCCTAGCATAACTGTTTTTTATTTGATTCAGTTTCATAGAGACATACTCTCCAAATGCGTCACTTTCATCCCTGCTCTTTCTATTTTCGTACATGTTTTGTAAAATCTTTACAGCTTCTTGTTGTGTTGTATCTTTTTCAACTGGCAGTCTTCTTTTGCGAAATGGTTTTGGGGTGGCGAAAAGCGTGCCCGTAGTTTTGTTTACAGTGACAGTATTTTCAGTTTCGATTAAAGTGAGAGTGTTTTCTGAATCACTTCTGTTTTTCGTTACCCCGTTTTCTTCGTTACTCTGAAAGAATAGAAGTAAACGATAACTTCAAGTAACTTAATCTTCTGTTTTTGTTCCAGATACCAATAACACCTCAAGAGTGGCTACACGTGACAAATACATTTAAAAAAAATGGAATATCCCAAATTGCTTAGGAAGTATCGATGGAAAGCACGTAGCCATACAAGAGCCAATTGATAGCGACAGTGAATATTACAATTATAAAGGATTTTACAGCGTTGTACTTTTAGCGCTAGTGGACGCAGAATATAACTTTTTATATGTGAATATTGGCTGCCAAGGACGCATAAGTGATGGTGGAGTTTTCGCAAACACAAAATTTCGAAATAAAATTAACGACAATAGTTTAAAAATACCCAATGACAGCTCACTACCAGGCAGAAACAAACCTGTTCCTTATGTGTCCGTAACAGATGATGCGTTCCCGTTAGAAAACACTTGTTAAAACCTTTTCCAGGACCACAGGATAGCAATTCTAAAGAAAGAATCTTCAGTTATAGACTGAGTCGTGCGAGGAGAACAGTATAGAACGCATTTGGTATTTTGTCGGCCAGATTTAGAGTTTTACGAACTACAACATTATTAGATCCAGAAAAAACTACTACTTTAATTATGACATGCGTGCTACTGCATAATGTTCTAAGAAAAACAGGATCGAGCATGATTTACGCTCCATCTCAATACTATGATAGCGAAGACGAAATAACTGGTACACGTATCGATGGACAATGGAGATTAGAACAGCAGCAATTAACACCACTTGAAGCATGTGAATCCCAGGCAGATGATGGGAGAGAAATAAGAAAAGAATTCGCTGTTCAAATGAAGGGTTATTGGACTGGGCATCTAAATACTATTAAAAGACGTTAAAATAAAACTCACCTGCAACCCTCCATCGACAGTTGACCTTGGGATATTTTTGCCCTTAAGGAACATGAGTTTTTTCAAATGCAATGCATTCACTTGATTCATCAGCTCCTGCACCAGATTTAGATTTACATTCTCGGTTAAATTGACCTACGAGTGATCGAATTTTTTTTTCAATTACTTTTTTATCCAAATTAAATTCACTGGCAATTTCCATCCAAGCATCGTGTTTCTTATTTCGGTTTTTCTAGTCCTCGGACATCGTGTTCCACAGTACGTCTCTTGCTTGAAACATTTCAATCAATTTGTAAACATCTTCGTTATTTCAATTATAACCTGACATATTTTATTGGCGCACGCGCAACCACTAATCTATATACGCACAGCGACGCACGCTTAATTAAACAAAGGGACTGACAAGACACCAGACATACGCAGCGACCGGCATACTCTAACCCCCCCCCCCCGGCATTCCTTGACTCACCGCATACCCCGCCGTCACCTTTATAAAAGGTTTACAAACAAAAGGTAACACATGTTTTATTTTGTTATAATTTGTTTTGTTATAATTTGTTAACTTAACGTTACTAAACATTTTCTAACATGAAAACATTTTTTAACATTTGTGATTAACAGTCTTACTAATAAAAATATTTAAAACATCTGTTAAACAACTGTGTACTTATACACTGTTTAAGCTATGGATAAGAGTTACACACGCTCTTTACCAATAACAGATGTATAAGCGTTGTATAGTTATACACTCACTAAAACAAAAACCATTGGCAACATTCATCAAAAACGTTTTGAAACTAAATTGTCAAGTTATAGAAACATTTTGAAAACACATAAACAACTTATAAATTATCTTTTTGTAATTAATAACACATACATTTAGCCCAAAATATTGTTAAATTTAATTTAGTAATAATCTAATGTTTATATGCGATAAAAACTAATTATTATTTGGACGAAGCCATATTTATAATCCTAATAAGTTTATGAACGTACGGCGTACCTTTCAGATTCAGACAGTTTGTAATTCAGTCGTCAATTTGTTGTTTGTAATTTATAATTCGTTAGAAGCTACTATATTTTTAATAACATCGCTGTGTTATAATTTGTGTGTTGTGTAATAATGGCTAATAGTAATGGAAACTTTATCAAAAGAAAACGGTCTGCCAATTGGGATGCGTTAGAAAAGGTAAGATTGAATTTTAATAGAAATACATTTGCAACTACTGTTTCCCAATATGGTCACAATTTGTAATCGAACTTTGTATATTATCTTTCAGAGTTTATTAAAAAGTTGTATGAAGGAATTTGTATCCATCATAGAAAATAAAAACACGGATACAAATACAAACAAAAGTAAGACCATTGCTTGGGGAAAAGTGATGAAAAGGTTTGTAAAATACCATGTTTTATGAATTTTGTTTCACGTTTCTTGTGTGCAAATTATAATTGAGACATTTTCAGTTTTAGTGAATTGAATAGCCGGGTAAGAGAATTAGCTGAAGTTAAGCAACAGTGGCGCACTATGAAACTTGATGCAAAGAAAAACATGTCGCAAGTAAAGACATCTATCAAATGTACTGGTGGAGGGCCAAAACCTCTTAGCCCTGACCCAGAAACCATTGACATATTGAGCATGATTCCACAGGAATTTGAAACTGATTCCAATGTCTTCGACAGTGACAGCATAACAGTGAGCTCATACTATATTTTTTGTAATTGTCTTAGCACTAACACAATGTTAAGTACCAAGTATGTTATGTCTTATGATTATGATATCAATGTGTGATATTCTATTTCAGAATTCAGTGGTTCAAAGTCAGGAGCAGTCCTTGGTGAATACACCAACACAAGATTATTTTATCACTCCAGGAGATAATAATGAGAATGTGCAAGAGGTTTGTTAATTTAAATTTGTTGAGAAAATTTACCTAGATTAATATCTTTTGAATTCTGAATGAATTGATAATATTTCAGAATATTACACCACTACCTTTTAAGATGCCAACTGAAATAGTTAGAAGAAAACGGAAACTTACATTCAATGATGTGAATGATAATAAATATACAGCTAAACGTGAGGTAAAATAATATTTTATTTTATTTTAATAAAATGTTTAATTTAAGTTTTTTTATAGGATAGGGTGACAAACGAGCACACGGTCCACCTGATGGTAAATGGTTGCTATGGCCCATAGATTTCTACATCTATCCTCTATTACAAATCAAAATGCAGATGCATTATCACCCGGGAGGACTAAGATGGAATGCCGCATTTCCAGTAAAAAGGGTCTGCGGTTCTCTACACTCACCCTACGAAACAGCAGCGTTAAGCCACTATTTTATGATGGTATTCTGCAAGAGCGTGGTCCTTCCCCGGTCGAGTCGACCCACTCATGCTACAACTATACACTAATATAGCTACAGCATGGCTATACCAAGTATAACAAAATAATGGGATTAGTAATTTCTAATTGATAAAAATATATTTATTTCAGGAAAGAGACTTAACCAGAGAGCGCAATCATATTCTTGTCAGTTGCATAAAGGAGGAACATGGTTTAAAAATGAAAAATATGTTAGAAGCTCATAATTTTATTAAAGAGGAACACAATTTAAAAATACAACAAATGTTATTGGAAAAAGAAGAAACACAGCTTCGAGTTGAAAAACTAAAATTAGAAATATTACTTTTAAAAACAAATTTACCACAATAAAGCATTTTCGTTACTAAAATTGTGTTTCAATGAATAATCTCCTTGTTTCTTGACCAGATCGGCTATCAAGACTTTCCCTTAGCACTTGTTGGTCACCATTATCTTCAGATATGACTGGTTCAAGGAAATCAATGCCTTCATTCATTTCAATGGCAATATTATGTAATATCGCAAGTGCAACGATGTATAATTTTACATTTTCCAGTGACACACTAAACCCAAGTAATAGACATCGGAACCTCTGTTTACAAACTCCGAAACACCTTTCAATTGTATTTCTGGTTAATATATGTGATTTATTATAAGATTTCTCTTTAGCAGTACGGGGATTCTGGACTGGTGTAAACAAGTAATTTGTCAAACCGTAGCCAGAATCTCCTAGTAAACGAGCATGAAATTCCCCATTTTCAAATCGTTGTCGGATTTGACTTTCCCTGAATATTCTTGCATCATGTGTGCTGCCCCTCCAATGTGCCACTATATCTCTTATCTTTAATTGAGCATCACAAACTACCTGGACATTTAAGGATGAAAATCCCTTTCTGTTTATATAATATTGAGCACTATCGCCTTCGACTTTTTTAATCTTTACGTGCGTGCAATCGATAGCACCAATCACTTGCTTAAAGCCACAAATGTTTCTAAATCCAGAAACCACTTGTTCTTGCTCTTCTAAAGTACTAGGCATGCGTATAAATTGTGCCGCTTTACTTGCCAAAGCAAGAGCTACTCTTCGGCATATATTTGTGATGGACTGTTGGCTAAGCCCATGAATGTCTGCTGCATCATCTTGCACTTCTTGCCTAGCCCACGTTCTGAGAGCAGTACAAACCTGAAGTTCTACAGACAGCCCGCCACCACTAGCTTGTAGTTCGATATCACGCTGAACTAACTTAACTATTTTTCTCATATATATTTTACTGAATCTATATTTCATTCGAAAATCTTTTTCTTGTAAAGGGATCGAAACGATTTTTGTAAAATTTTCTTTTTCTTGGTGGTTCCTCACGGTCTATTTCATCAAAAATATCGAAATATTGTAAATAATCCATTATTTTCAAAAACGCCACACGTCAAATTGAGGTTATACACGTCTTAAACAAAGGTTGAGAACTGTATAACGGTTGCGTAAGTTTCTATACAATTTAAACACTCGTTATAACAGATGTATACAACTGAACTGTCAAATGTCGTTTATTGGTAATGTTTGCGTTATAACTCTAGTATACGTCGTGTGTAAATCTTTATTAGTAAGGCTGTAAATGTTTGCCAACAAATGTTTACTAACGTTACTAAACATTTTCTAACGGCAATGTGGGAGCACCTTAAAACAGCATAGCGAGTTGATTTAATTGGTGATTACATTATGGTAAGAAGTTTAAGAACAGGCATTTAAAGAAAAATAATAGTTCAGTGATGAATATGTATGGCATAATGTGTGTGTGTATGTGTGTGTGTGTGTGTTTGTGGATGTAAGTGTGAAAGTGATTGCGTGTCTTGTGTGCGTGTAAGTGGGTACAGTTTGTAGGTTTAGGATATTAAAGCTTCAGTGGCATTATAATTTAATTCATAGGCATTGAACTTATTTATCTGTAACTTTTTGTCGAGTTTATTGTATAACCGCGAGCTTGAGAAGGATAACTGCTTTTTAGCAAAAAAAAATCCTACATGTTTTGACAGGACATGCGGCTTTTTGACGCCTCCTTGGTGTGGAAGAACTATTTGGAGGTACAGTTAAATGTAGACGCAGAATGGTGCGAAGGATGTAAAGTTGCCTAACTGTAGGTACATTACAATACATATAAAGTTGTGTGGTCGGGTATCTCCAAGGCCGCCTATGCATAACCTTTAGCACTGCCCTCTGTGCGCGTTCAATTTTAATGAAGGTAGTCTTGGAGGCACAACCCTATATCGGGATGCAGTATGTTATGATTGACTCACAAAGGGCGGTGTATACAGATGACAAGATGTCGGCATCCGCGGAGCTACGTAATGTTTTAAAGATATAGATTATGTTGCGTAACCGACATGCAACGGATTCTACTTGACTATACCAATTCAAACAATTATCCACTTGAAAACCCAAGTATTAAATGGTATGGGTTCTTTGCAATTTTGGGCAATTACAGTGAGAAATCCCACTGGAGCAATTGTGAGCACGCATATCGAAAAATTCGCTTGATGGTTGTGCAGAGGGTTTTATAGAGAAGGTTATTAATTTAGTCTTATCTATATTTAAGGTAAAAGATTACGACTTAGCCACGTCATAATAATTCTAAAATTATTCTCTGCGATGTTGTTTCGGACCAGTTGTTCCCAGAAACAACAAGGGCCGTGTTATCAGCATAAGTAACAATGCGGCAATTAGATAGAGGTAAGTCACAAAACTCATTTACGTAGGACAGGAATAACGTGGGCCCTAAAATGCTACCCTGAGGGACACCAAATTCAAGGGATTCTTGTTTGCTGACGAAAGAACCTATCTTTGTGCACTGCGTCCGACCTGATAAGTAATCAGAAAATATTTCTAGGATACGACATGACACGCAGCGTTTCTAACTTATTTAATAGTAGTGGGACAGAGACAGTGTCCAATGCCCTAGAAAGGTCTAGGAAAATACCCAGACATTTCCTACCTTCGTCGAGTTCGGTGACTACATGCCGAACTAAGGAAGCAACAGCATCCTCGGTAGACCTACCCCTTCTAAAGCCAAATTGATTTTTGGAGATTAAGCTATTTGATTCGAGAAAGCGAACTAAATGGCGATTTAGGACACGCTCAAATACTTTAGACAGGGTTGGCAAGACAGAAATTGGGCGATAATTTGTGACACTGCCTCTGTCCCCACTTTTATAAATGGGATGTACAATTGCCTTTTTCAAGGCGATAGGAAACTTCCCAGTGGATACCGCCAAGTTACATAGGTGGGTAATGATAGGTGTAAGAACTGGGCTTGATTTAAAAATTTGGGATGGTATACCATCCCACCCGACAGCACTGTCATTTCGTAGGCTCATAATAGCATCATGTACTTCGTCTTCATCAATTTTGAGGATAACCATAGAATGTGATGGAGAGTGCAAGAAGTTAAATGGTAAGTCAGTTAATTTTAAATTTGATTTAATTTTATTTGCAAGTGCTTTCCCTATATTTGCGAAAAATGAATTTACGGCATCAACAGATACTTTAGCATCATCATGCAAATTTAAAAGTTCTAATGGTGGATTTAATGCTCCCATGTTTTTTAGGACTTTTCTTAGCCTTAGCAAATTCAGATCTCTCGTAGTCTCTCTTGAGATTTTTAACAAGATTAGTACAAAAATTTCTGTAACGTTTATAAGTTTTTTCCAGTATCATGTTATTAGGATTGCGTTTGACGTTTTTATGCATGCGGTCCCTGTTTCTTATGCACCTCAATATTCCTGCGGTTATCCAGGGCTTTATAGTTCGCTGTCTGCATGGAATTGTGAAACAAATGGTATTTCTTTTCATTATAGAGATTAACGTGTCTAGGAAACAGATCGTTTGCCTTATTGACATCGTCGAGCGAAAGTCTGTGTTAGTTATATCAAGTGAAACTTGAGGAAAATTAATTTTATTGCCAATTCGGTTTGTTCGACGGTTTACAGGATTTAGATTTAAATTTAAGAGGACTGGAAAATAGTCAGTTAGTGATGTTTCTATAACAAGAGTTGTGGATCGAAGCCTTGTTTTTAATATGACGTGGTCTAAGCAGTTATCTAATCAAGTCGGAATCTGGTGTGCTGGTAACATTCCATGAGATGCCATAAGATTTAAATAATCATTTGAGTTTGGGTCACAATTATTTACTTTAATATCTATGTTTATGTCGCCAATTACGATGATATTATTTATTGCTGATAAATTATTTAACGCAGTATTCAGGCTGTCCATAAAAATATCGGTGTTTCGAAATGAAGGGGATCTATATAAGCCTATTATAGCTAGATTTTTATTTAAAGTGCAGATTAAACAGTTGTGTCGGCAGGGTCGGGAAGGGACGCCCTAGACGAAGTTTTATCGACCAAATCGGCGATACATTAAAAATGGGTCAGATTAGGAGTACCCTTAACCGACGAGCGTGTATGCGTAGATATATGGATGTAAAAGAGGCGAGAGAGGTGTGTCAGGATCGCGCCAAATGGAAGTCCGTAGTCTCTGCCTACCCCTCTGGGTGACAGGCGTGAGTGTTTATGTTATTATGTTATGTTATTAAACAGTTTGCATCATTAAAGTTAGGTTGATATACTGTATGTGTAATGGAGTTCTTAATGTAGATCACAACGCCGTCGTTTTGGTTGCGGATGGAGTTCGTACTATATGATAAATAGCCCTCAAGCTGCGGTAAGGTAGATATTTTAGACAACCAGCTTTCAGAAAGAATCAAAACATCGCAGGTTATGTTTAGTGCATATAATAGCAAACGGAATTCATTAAAGTTTTTATTGATGCTTCTAATGTTGACATGCAGAAGGGAAAAAGATTTTGAGCTGTAATTAATGTACTTTTGGCAATTCAGTGGTTCACATATATAAGCTTGGGAAATAGATATATCCTCAATTTCATTGTTTAGAATATTGTTCGCCATTTATGAGGATTTTTAGACTACTAAGCATGGGTAACATATTATCGTATTTGAACTCTTTTAAATGCATTATATAGGTACTATTAAGCTTTAAATATAACTTTGTGATAATTAATGGATCATATGAGTGTGTTATGTGGTAGTTATGATTGGAAGTGAGTGTGTGTGCTAGAGAATGTAATTGTGAGAGCGAGTGTAAGAATAGTGTATTTGGATAGGATTTGTGTATGGTGTTTACGTTGTAAACATAAGTTGAGAAAGTAACAATAACGACATTAAAATAATAATATTTGTACTCGTTGGCTTTTGCAAATTCTTGTGTCCAGAAGAGAAGTTTCTTTGTTTTTAGTGGCAGGAATTCAAATACATATATGGGCATATGGGTCCCCGAGA